TCCAGATGGCCACACATTTTTCCCCCTTGCTATAAGTCAACTAACTGGAGTTAGTAACCTTAGTTCATTCAGGTCACTAAGACCTATAATCTTGTCCCCAGTGACCAAGCTACAGAAGGAAGAAATACTCAGCCTGCCACCCTTCATTTCCCCTTCATGTAAAAGCGTTTGCTGACTAGCAGTGCACTTCTAAGTGGCCAAGACAGACACAGGGCAGCAGAGTTGACCCTAGGATAGCAGAAATTTTGCTGAATTTCAGGGTGCCAGAAATTACTTCTGTCTTAAGTTTAGGATTGCTCTCACCCAGGCCTAACTCTCTGCTTGCATGGTGGGTTGTTGTTTGGATCAAACATAATTTTTCCTTGCTCTGCCCACTCTCTGCTCTGTTTTCAGCAGGGGAGACTTCTGACATACAAAGAGATTGTGCCGAATCCTAACTCTGTACAGCTGGAGAATGAAGGGGGCTAGAATCTCTGATTTGGATTAAACAGCAGAAGTGCAAAGTGCCCTCTGTTTTCCAAACTTATGTATTTGAATCAATTCCTTTTATTTTGAGTAGCAACCTCCCTTCAACTTCTGTGTTCTTCATCAAAATGCATAAGCAAAAAGAATCCATATTTCAGAGACACTGCGTAATGGGTTTGCACAAAGAACACACACACCAAATGCCATGGAGAAAACACTGGCTAAAATCCTGTTTTGTAATTAAGCAAAAGCTGTTACTTGTAGCAGTAACTTGCCATAAGTTAAGAAATCTGTAGGCATTATCTGTCACACGAGTTGCACACCTTGGCGTGACAGATAATGTATACAGAGATTTCTCAACTTATGGCAATTTGTTAAAAGGTACACATTTTGTGTAACTGCATGACAGAATTCTGGCCATTATATCTTGCAGCATGCTAGAGTAACAGTGTCCTCGTCCGCTAATACCACTGAAATATTTTCATTGGAAAAAAAAAGATAAATGCAATAGAAGAGCCCTTACTGGTGTGTTCATAGCTCCAGGCGTAGCTGAGCACACAGTAGCCTAACACCAACATAGAGATGATTCCAGCCACTCTGCTCTTTTTTCCATTGATGTACTTGTAGTATCTGTTCCAGGCTGTTTAAAAAGAAAGGAGAAAACAAAAGCACACACGAACCATTTGATTATTCAAGTCATCAGCTTTGAGGGTCCAGATCCAGTTTTTCTTATCTGATGCAGAATAAAAAGGATTGCTCAGCCAACCTCAACACATGTGCTGCCTACAGCAGCTGCAACAATCCCACCCTGCCATTTCAAGGCTGGACTGATAGGTACAGCAAGCAATTGGCTCTCACCAACACACACATACACACACAGAGAGAGAGAGAGTGAGAGAGAGAGAGAGTACTTTTCTGAATTGAAGAATAATCTACTCATTTTCCATGACAGCTGGATGGGAGTTGTAGTACAATAACATCTGAGGACCCAACGTTGGGAACCACTGCCACCAAGGGGGGGGGATAGTTTGCGATCAATTTGCTTATTGAAGTTATTCAGAGGGACAAATGTAGAGCTTGCAAGACACAGTGGCCAGAACCCAACTAGTGTTTGTGTAAGGTTTCCATAATTTGATGCAGCCAATTGCAATAAAACAAGAGGTGTGGAGGCACACTGTGGTTGCACCACTGTGCAGATGACCAGGCATGTGTCCAAGAAGCACACCCATGCCTCATCGGTTGCCTGCAGTTAGCCGCAGCACATTATGCCAAAGTTGCATGAAATCCAACAGGATTCAGGCCAACTGTGTTTAAAATAGACATGAACTGGTTTCACAGCAGTTGAAATGGTGGGGTCTTTTTAAACAATGTTTTAAATATGTATATATTACAGTGTTTACTCTAAATTAATTTGTTTTAACTAACTGCTGGCTTTACATTTTTGGAATGCTACCTTGGGTCCTCACTAGGGGGAAAAGCCAGGATAAATATCAAATAAACAAGAAGACAAGAAGTAAGGAGCAGTTTGCTCTTTCCCAGACACCCCAAGAACAACAGTTCAGCTCTCTCTCTCTCTCTCTCTGTGTACATTCATGTGCATGTGTCCCTACAGATAAACACGCACGGAGTGTCTAGTATTTTCAGTACTTTCAAAAATGACATTTCCCATGGATTTTGGCAGAAGGAGCAATGACAGTTAAATAGATATAAAACAGGTCAAATTCTAAAACAGGTAAATTCTGCAAATTCTGCACACTAGAGTTTTCTCTGAATAAAACCTCTATAACAAATCCAACACAGATCTTTGCCCTTTCAAATTAAAAGCAAAAAAAGGAGATGAAGATGCCAAGAATCCATTGGAGAGAACATTATGAAAGATATTTCTCAGAGGGAAAATCAGCTGTGTTCTTATAGGGTTGGCCATACTGTATTAGGATTTTTATACGTGGCTCTTAAGCTTAGAAACTAAGGTCTGTCCTAGTACTGTATAGTAAAGCCAAATACATTCAACCAGAAAATACTTATAAATCAAACATACTGAAAATGGTATTTCTCTACAAATTAAACTAGGCATGGTCAGCATCACAATTTCAACAAGTTAGCCTGTGTGTGTGTATGTGTGTGAGAGTGTGTGTGTGAGAGAGAAGTAGTAGTTTTACCAGTACAGAGAGAGATCCATGGCCTTGTGAGAATTTGAATCCAGGTATCCTGACTCCTAATATTTCACTCTCTTTTACACCACTCTGAGTACTGCCCTGTGGGTAGCAGAATATAATGTTTCTTTGAAGCTGGTGAGGAAAAGCTTTATTTTTTTTTACCTTGCTGGCCTCTGCAAGGGAGAATAAGATCTTGAACTTGTGCGATTGGTGTATCCCAGTGAGACGACCTCCTTGAAAATAAACCCAGCCTGTGATAATTCGGATACAATTCTGGAAACCACTCCAGCCCTAAAGATCTTGGCCATGTGCCTCCATCAAGAGGAGGTGAAAGCCAATAAGCAGTAGTCATTTCTGGTGTCTGGACTGAAGGTTGTCTCAAAAATGTGTTTTTATATTCTATTGCCACAGCAGTCCCAGAATATAGAGGAATGTCCTTTTCCAATTGAGTTAAGTAGTTATGCAATATTTGCATGTTACCTTTTTCTCTAAGAGTTTCTGTAATGGAGGAACAGACCTTTGACTTGGGAGTGGTACAAACAGGAGGCTGGTTAGGATACTGTTCTTTGAAAAATAAAGCGTTTTCATTGGCTGTGTCTTTGGAGTCTACAGACAGCAAAACAGGAAGACTGGAGAACGTTTCACAGCTGTCCATGACTTGGTCACCCAATGTGTGTGCCTCCAATGTCGTTACTTCGGTTTCTGTGCCTCCATTCAAAGCATCTCCTGCAAGTTCAAGGCCTAAAATGCTTTTCCCATCCATCCTCTCTGCCATTGCAATAACGTTCTGCCCATTTGTGGAGACAACCTCTTCACCACCTGATGATGATTCCACAGGCCCCTTTCTGTGGTTACCGGCAGGAACTTCATGTAGGACAGAGGAGACACCCTTCTTCCTCAGTAGCCTCACACGATGGTTTTCAATCACAAGTTCTATTCTGTCAATTTCCCGAGGAACCGGTGGAAGATCCTCAATGGAAGACTCAAACCAGCTGGACACATTCGGGTTCGCTGGTGCTGCCTCTTCACTTTGGCTCTGTTTGGAAAAACACTTCACTGCCTGGCTAGGTAATTCTGAAGGGGATTTTCCACTTTGAATGTTTAGTTCTAAACCAACATCAGATGCAGACCCTGCTCCACAAGAAGTGGTTTCCCTTCTGTTTTTCTGTATTCTAGACGTCTCTGCAGTGTTTGCTTTTAAAACCACCTGCTCAACTGGCTGTGCTTCACCAACTTCTGAGGCATTTTGGCTGCTGCCTCCTGTTCTGGATATTTTTACAGCGGTAGACTTGATTTGAGCATCTTCACCTCTGTGCCAACTGCTGCATTTTGCTGCCAGTTCCTGTGAAGAATCATTTTTGCTTTTCGTTTTTTTCTTTCCCCGTTCAGGCTTGTTCGTTTTGTTTTCTTTTTTGGAGGTAGTTTCGGTGCTTTTGACCTGTGCTTTCTTTTTCTCAGTATTCAACAATCTAGGCATGGTAGAACTAGTGCCCTTTTTGGCAGGAGAAAAATCTGCACTCAAGTCTGCACTTCTTGCCATCTTACAGTGAGGCAGATGGGACTTCAGCCGTTTGAATGGCTTTTTGCAGTAGGGGCAGATTTCTATTTCTGGGTGGCTGCCTGACATTCTTTTCTCTGGAAAAGAAGATGACACCATAAGCTGGCAAAATGGCTTTCAAAGAGTTCTCACACGGAATACTAACAAACATAGGTTCCATATTAACTACAGATGACCACCAATCTTCATTGGCACCTTTAGCCTCCCATTTCTTTCATTCATTCATCACTCATTCCAGAGCAGAATGAAGAAACTTGAAAAGTTGGGGAACATGGAAAATGGAACCTGTTGTGGAATAATCAAGCTTCTTAAAACATAAAAATTTAACAAGTTAAAGATTAAAAAAACAATTAAACTGTATGCTAATTAAAACACAATTGAATAATTAAAAGTAAATATTAAAAACTATCTTAACTCTAAGATAAAATAATAAAACACTAAAATCATTTTAAACTAACTCTTTAAAAACCAAAGGTAGTTTATACCATAACAGACAGGATCATAATCAGAAGAGTGCCTGGGTGAACAGATAGTTATGCAAACACGTAACATTTGAAGCCCCTAAACTCAAACGGAGAAAGTTCCAAATACTGGGCACAAAACAGAAATGGCATCCCTCTGAACTTTCATAAATGATCCTCACTAGGCTGCTGTAGACCCCTCCCCTGCTAGGGTGGAGCAATGGGTTTGGCCCCAGAACACTGGGATCTGAAGGCACAAAAATCTAGAAGTCAATCTACAGATGAAGATTAAGAAAATAAATGGCAACACCTCCCAGCCCTGTCCTCTTTTCTCTGAAAGTGTATCTCTTCTGTTTATTTGGGTTTCACCTCCCCACACACATACACACATTCTTCTCCATTTCTGGGGGCAGGCAGGCAGGCTTACACACATACATCAGGATGGCGTGGTTGGCAGAGGGTGCAGCTTGCCTTCCCAAACATAAAGCTGTACAAATGCACACTGTTTAGGGATTACTAAATGTGTTTTTCAAAAATCATGTTGATACATTTAGAATATATGTTTCAAAAGGAAAACAACAAAACAGAGTCCAGTGAAAATAATTTCCCTTGTTACTCTTTCAGCCTGATTTCCATACCCAACAAAGCCGAAGACTATGGATGTAAACTGTAAATGCCAAAATACTAAAACAGGAGGGTCTTTTTTTCCCTTGACTCTCTATTTTTTTTAAATAGATGGAGACCCTATGGTTTTAATTCGATATAACAGTGAGAAAGATATTCAGTTAAGCCTTTTCCGGCACAAGAATGCACTAGGCTTCAGCGGGTGTTACAGCCACAGAACTTTCCTCGATACAAACGTCCAAAAGCATAGGTAGACATTTCCAAAAGAGTAGGCAGCAAAATCAACGGTCTTGGGACAATTATGGCATAAACTTTCGGGAAATACAGTTCATTACAGACAGCAATCCTCCCAGATTTAAATTTGGTGAATTCTAGCAGCAAAAGCACCTGAACTCTCCTGTTCAACTTGCCCCGTACTAAAAGTAAAAAAGGGGAATTATTCCACTTTCTGTTTCCTTTCCTGAAAACGCGGGTTCCTACCTTATGAAAAGCCAGACCACGAGAACGCCGAGGCTCGTCCACCACCTCCTCCTCCTCCCTGGATTTCCTAAGGGCTGGGGTCTGCCCTTTTAGAAACTGGTTATCACCCGCATCCTTGCAGGAGCAGCTCTTCCCGCAAGCGCCGGCAGCAGCTTTATTGAATAATTGAAACCAAAAGCGGAGTTGAACGAAGGGACCGCGCGTGGGCCTCCGCACTCGTCACGTGACTCCAATCAGGTGGCAAGGAAGAGGCGGGCTTCGAAATGTGGAGGGAGTGCGGAAAGGATGGAGGCTGTTTCTGCTCCTGGACATTAAGAGGATTCTTCCCCCCCCACCCCCTTTTGCGGGGCTGAAAAAGACGCTTGCTTGCCTTCAGAAGGTAGGGTTGTCTCTGGTTGCGGTAGTAAACTGGCAACGGGGGGGGTGCTGGAGAGAGAGAGAATCCAGGACTTCCTCTGCGCCGCCCGCAGAAGACAGAAATTTAAAAAAAAGAAAGTTCCTTAAAAAGGATCCAAGGCGGATTACATCATTAAAAGACAACATTTAAAGCTAAAAACAAGAAGTATACAAATACTAAAAAACGATCAAATGCCACTCTGAGAAATGGTAAACAAAAGCAATACTAAAAACACAGAAGGAAGGAAGTCTACGTGTTTTAAAATTAGTATAGTCTTCATTCATTCATTCGATTTTTACCCCGCCCTTCTAGACAACGTCTACTGGAGCGGCTTACATAGCTAAAAACACATAAAAACATATATAAAAATACAATTATAAAATTAATTAAAAACAACACATTTCCAAGATGGCATGACTCAAGAAGAGGAAGAAAAAAAACCTGAAAATCGTTGTGTAAATGTCTTCTACTCTAGGAGAGCTGAAGAAAACTGTCCACCATAGAAGAATTGCTGGATAGTTCAGTGGTTGAGGTCTCTGGCTGCAGAGTCAAGGGGTTGGGAGTTTGATTCTCCACTCTGCCTCCTTGACAAGAGGGCTCCTCCAGCCCTACAGTTCTAAGATTATCATATATTATTAGTATCTGCATTGCAAATAGCAGAGAATGGGTCTCATAAAGTGCTCATTAAAGAGGTACAGTATGTGCCTATCTGAGACTGGTTATGCAATGTTGTCAGGTGTTTGTATCCCTCTGTTGCAGGGCTGGGGGGAGACTGTGACTTAGTGGCATGTGGCAACCCTGCCATGTAATGTATTCGTTATTACCCGCCATCAAGTCAGAACCAACTTCTAGCAACTCTAATGAGATTTCCAATTTAAGTGAGATGTTTAAGGAGTAGTTTCACCAGTTCCACTCCCCAGGTGAGTTTTCATGACTGAGCAGAGATTTGAACCCAGACCTGCTGAGTCCTAGTCCATCCATTCTATCCTAACATGATCTCTGTCTTCTTGGGATTCCATTTCAACTTGTTTGCCCTCATCCAGCCCATTATCGAGGGCAAGCAGAACTCCAGGAAGCTGGATGGAATCCACTGCAGATGTTGTAAAGGAGAGAGAAACCTGCATGTCAGCAGCATGTTGATGACAGTGCACCCCAAATCTCTAGAAGAACTCTCCCAGTGGATTTACATAGATGTTAAAAAGCACAGGGGAGACAATCGAGCCCCAAAGAACCTCCTAACGCAGGACCCATTGTTTGTCTACTGCAGTTTCCACATTTATTATCAAAATATCCTGGCTTGATATTAACATCAAGCGTATGATGTGGGTGCTTCTCATGTTTCTAATAGCTGGAATCATAGCTGGAGTTGACCATATTGATTAAAGTATTACTTTTGAAATAAACTCTTTTTTTCCTGATTCTGAATTAGTAGTTTTTGCACTGAATTACACTGACAGTGGGGCTACTCAGAACAAATGTTATCTTGGTAATTGGAAGCAAAATATTTTTCCAAGTCAGGCCACTTTGGAATGAGATCCTCTGCCAACATTAGGGCGGAGGTTCTGATTTCTCTTACAGTTAGCCGTTCGAAAGGCTATATCCAGGATTGGGGTTGACCTGTAACTTAAAATGGGCACTTTGAGGGTCATTCTGTCCAAATATTTTATTTCCAGGTTACATCATTTTCTGCCTGTTTGCCCTGTGGGAATGAGAGCTAGCAGCAATACAGTCAGAGTTGTATGTTGCCTGGAATGTTCTCCTGCTATGAACTGGGTTGTATTATCAGACACAGGTTCATGTGGAATGTCAGAACAAAGAAAGACATTCTTCTGATGGGTAGCAATGCTGTAGCAGCATATAAGACCACACACACAACTCTAATGACAAGTTTCTTTATAGTCCAGGAAATGTGAGAGGAAGACACATACAGTGGTACCTCGCAAGACGATTACCCCACAAAACGTTTTTTTCACTAGACGTTGACTTTTTTGTGATCGCTATAGTGATTTGCAAAACGGTTTTTCCTATGGGGGATTTCGCTGGACGATGATTTGGTCTGTGCTTCACAGAACATTTTTTTGCAAGACGCCGATTTTTTACAGCTGATCGGCAGCTTCGCAAAATGGCTTCCCTATAGGCGATCTTCGCAAAACAGGTGTTTTCGGGACCAATGCTTTGCAAGACAGGGATTTAAACAGCTGATCAGTGCTTCGCAAAATGGCTTCCCTATGGGTGATTTTCGCTGGACAATGACTATTTCCCCCCATTGGAACGCATTAAACGGGGTTCAATGCATTCCAATGTGGAAACAGTTTTCACTAGATGATGTTTTCACAAGACAGCGATTTCAATGGAATGGATTAACATCATCTAGCGAGGCACCATTGTACTCCTATGGTGCCTACCATGTCTTCTTCAGGACACCCTAGGCACTCCAAGAATAACTACAAGAATAGTTGCCACCCCCAGAGCCGGAGTCCCGAAGACAGTTCGTGTTGTTCTGGCAACTCCTGCGACATTGCTGGAACCAGTTGTATTGGCTCTTGCCTTTCCATTGAACCATTTCAGCAATGTGGAGAGGGGGGATTTGCTGCTTGGGTAACAGCCTATCCTCCATACTACTTTACCCAGGCTTCATGCTCTGGAGAGGAAGCTTCTCGATACAGAGCATGTTACCATAGTCTCCCGAGACTGAAGGATGCCTATGAGTAGTTGCCACTAGGGGTTGCTTTTTTGTTTTCTCTTTGGTGATACAGCTCACCCTTCCCCGTAAAAGTCAACAGAGAAATGATTCTGTTTACATTTATAGGGTTGAAAATATTCTTCTTATATCTGAGAGAGAGACCTTACAATATTTTGTGATCAGTCAAGCCACCACGGACACCATGTTGTTATTACACTGAAGACTCTTCTTAGAAAGGCCAGATAGACCCACAGGGTAGTTAAAGACCAGAGGTGAAGCTTTGGCACCCAGATCTTCACTGCCCTATTGCTTAAGCTTGGGTCACATGAGATTGTCATATGTGCGGAGAAGAGGAGAAATATCCAGGTCCGAATGGGAGATGGGCATTTTGCATCTGTGCTGAGCCCGCTTGCAGCTGGAAGTGGCCTAGGTGATTGGAGCTGGGTGGTTCCATACCCTTCCAGCAACAGATAACAATGGGCAAGTTCAAGCCCTTCCAGCAGTGAATGCTTATACCCTTTAAATTTCAGCACCCTAGGTGAAAAAGCACCAGTTGTCATTATGGTGCTGCCAGAGGCCCCCCAAAGCAGGGAACCTTGGTCTAAACTTTGTTATGAATCTGCCCACATGCTCCCACAAAATCTGTTGAGTTCTTGCATGGCCCCACGCAACAAGGCTTGTATATATGATTTACCATTATGTTGTGCTCCATAGGGTGGGGATAGGACTCAGTTCTCAACACACTGCAAATCTGCATCTTAACCTGTATCTGTTTGCAGTATTCTTCTAAATGGAACAGAGCGGGGAAATAATGTGTTAATTTAACACATCACTGTTAAAATTGTTATTTTTGTGGGAAGCCAATTGATACACGTAGAAGGTAGCATTTAAAAAGTAATTTTGATGGTAATACATTACTTTCATTTCTGTTAATTATAAAATGCCTCTTTTAGCTTGAAGACATCAAATTATTGTGTTATTTCCAAATTCCAGGATGACCAGAGGCCTTATTATTCAATCCATTACTCCCATGGCCAGCTGTCCATTTTAGTGGAACTTAGACCCATCACAGCACAGTTTGAATGGACTGGATGTGGTACATCCCATTGCAGGAAAAAACCATGAATGGGAAAAAACTTGTTGCATAAATTCATGCTCGCATAAAGTGAATTGCATGATGGAAATATTCAGTTTAAACTAGTGAAACACTTCTGCCTCCCCTTTCACTTTCCTTTACTTCTTCTTTTAGGTTCTAAGGCTCCCTTTTGCCCTGAGGAAGTCTTTGGGAGCCTCGGGATGCTGCAGGGGAGCCTTTGGTAGTAAAAAAAATTACCATCAGATTACCACCAGTGGTCTCAATCCCAGTGGTGGTGATATTTTTGCTGTTTTTAAACCCTTCTCCTGTTCTGAGGCTCTCACAGGGCAAAAGGGAGCCCTAGGTAACCCATTATTTCTATGGGTTGATGTATAGGCACAGATGGGAGTTAAAATCGAAGAGATCCATGATTTTGAAAGTTCACCTGTGAGCACAGATGGGATCTATGATCTGAGCATGATTTGGGGAGATTCTGCATCTCACATCTGTGCATTTGCAACGTGGCAACACCATGCTGTGAGGGATCTCTGTTTTTATGGTTCAGTGTGTGGGCAGCAATGGGATATCCTTTTTTCATTGTCATCTCAGGAGGATCCTTGTTGTTGCACCGTGATTTAGGTTGTTGCATCATGGTGATGTAATGCAGCATGGGATCCATGAGTGTTGTAGGTCTTTTTTTAAAGATCTTGGATGTATGGGCTGAGAGTGGTTTGGAGAAGATCCCATGTGAAATTTATATGGTTCCATGAATATTCGTCTTTATTTATTTATTTATTTATTTATTTGATTTTTACCCCGCCCCTCTAGACCATGTCTACTCGGGGTGGCTACTTTCTAGCTATATTTTTGCACCATGAGAATGTTGTGCACTGTAGGATCAATTATTTCTACAGTATACTCTGTGGGCAGAGATGAAATTTATAGTCTGATGGTCATTTGGGGAGGATCTGCAAAAAAAATTTTTTTTTCATGGATCTAGCTTTTACTTTGTTCCCAAGAAGTTCATTAACGAGATATCCTCAGGTGCATAACAGAAACTGGTTATGACAACCCTACAGTATAATAAGGTGTTATTTTCCCCATATTGTTGGTTTTGGGGAGTGAGGGGGACTGAACCTACGTGATATACGGCAAGCCTGTCACATAATATAATTATCTGTAAATATCTCGTTGAGATGGAGACTTACAACATCTCCCTAATAAATTCTTTATGAACTGTTACTATTGAGTTTCCATGGCCAAGAGGAGATTTGAGCCCAAGTCTTCCCAGCCCTGGGTCCCACTTTTATCTGCTGCAGCATGCTGGTCCTAGCACCAATAGGTAACCCCTGCAAAAATACTTCCAGATAAATGCAATATATAGCTACCCTGTTTTCCCGAAAATAAGGCCTAACTTGAAAATAAGCCCTAGTATGATTTTTCAGGATGCTCATAATATAAGCCCTACCCCCAAAATAAGCCCCAGTTAACTGAAACCATGTCCTCCACCATGCACCAACTGGAAGAAGATGACATGACTGTATTTGAATTTGAAGATTGTTACACATGAAAACGGGAGGGCAAGACCCTGCCTCCAGTGTTGGCCATAATCAAAAGGGAGTGCATATCATGCAAAAACATAAATGAAAAAATAAAGACAACAAAATGTTATGGTACCTTTAAGACTAGCAGCTATATTTTAAGTGAGCTTTCATGGACAACTCCACTTCTACATAAAACGTATCAAGGCAGCTAGTCCGCGGTATGTACATCGCCGTGACTACGTCAGCGAGTCTGGCGGAAATAAACCAGTTCACCTTCACACACTGCGCAAGACAAAGGGCTCAAATTTCGCGAAGGCGCATGCGTAGGAGTCGCCTTTATCCAAGCACCCGCGTCAGAGGGGAAGCGTCGCCGTCCGCCGCAGCCAATCCGCCTGCGAGGCCGAAGTGTTTCCAGGCGGAGCGGGCGAGAGGCGTGGCCTCCGGGCATAGGGGATACGCTTGCGCAAGAGGCGTGCACACCGGAAGCGGGTGTTTGGGAGGAAGGAAGAGGGGGAGAGAGAGAGGAGGTGGAAATTGTTTGGGACTCGGAATTGCGGGGCCTGCTTCCCTCACGGCTTTTGGCCCGAAAGGCCCGGCCCGGCCATGAGTTGCCGGGGAGCGCTGGCGAGCGAGCGAGGAGCGCGGCAGAGGTAAAGACCGGTCGTGAAAATGGAACGCGGCCGGGAGAAAAACCCCGGTGGCTCCCGGAGGGGGAGCGCGGACGTGGGGAGGGGTTGGCGGCCTTTGTTGACGGCGTTTGGGGCGGGGGGAGGCGGCGGCCTCGGCCTTGGGGAAGGGCGGGAGGTGGGGAGCTTCTCGGCCAGGGCTTCTGGGAGCCCTGACTCGGCGGAGGGGCAGGCGTTCATTGTTACTGAGCAAAAAGTCAGGAGCGCTTGCTCAGGAGACGTGGGTCCGTCCTGGGCCCGGCCGCATCATAAGGCCGAGGGCAGCAGCCCAGCCACCACCAGCACCACCCACTCCCCCGCACGGCAAAGGTTCTCGGTCTATTTAATGAAGGAGCAACCTGGGTGCCGACCAGATACTTGTACTGTATAGCAGCTCCCATCAGCCGCAGCCTGCGTAGCTGGTGGGCAGGGATCATGGGAGCTGGAGTCAAGAACAAGTGAAGGGCGCCGGGTTGCCCGTCCTGGCGGGACCAAGCAGGTTAAATATGCATCCCCTCTACCCGTCATATCCTTTATCTCTTGCCTATTGTTCACTGGAGTCCTTCTGCTGTATTTTTTTTCCGTTTCTGCTCCGTTTTTTCTCAGTGCAGCTCAGGGTGGATTACGGATTATTCTTTCTCCTCCTCCCTTTTTATTTTTCACAGCAACCCTACAAGGTAGATAAAGCTGAGGTACAGTATTACAGCTGCCCCATATCGCCCTACTGAACTTCAGAGTTTAGCAGGACTTGAACTGGGGTTTTCCCCATGTGTTATGTCCACTATTTCAGTGATCCTTTATGCCCTTGTAAAACTGGTATTTTATTATCCCTGTTTTACAAGCAATTGGCTGGCTTTGAAAGGATAGTTGTTTGCTTAAAACACCCAGTGAATCTATAGCTGAGGTGAGGTTTGAAGTGGAAAGAGCGTTCTTTGGTCTTGTGCAGTTATGTACGAAGTCCAGTTATGTTTGTTCTGTATGATTTTATTTTTAAATTTTTATTTAAAATGTTTTTACTCTTTCTCTTTAAAAAGGACCCAGGGCAGCTTATATAAAATTTTAAAAAACACAATATTTTAAAGCTAAAAACGCTATGTATAAGAAAAGTGAAAGAATTAAACAAATGTGATATTAAAATGGTAAATTAAGTCATTAATAAAAACACTTAAATGTAACAAGGCGTAACAATACATTTTAAAAATCCCTCTCAGACAGTCAGTCATTAAGGGAATGCCTGCTTGAAAAGTCTTTACCTGTGGAAGGGCAGCAAAGATAGGGCCAGCCTAGCTTCTCATGAGAGAGTGTTCCAGAGTCTGGGAGCAATGACAGAGAAGGCCCTCTCCCATGTCCCCAGCAAATGTGTCTGTGAAGATGGTGGGAAGGAGAGAGGGGCCTTCCCTGATGATCTTAACACTTGGGTAGGCTAATAAAAGAAGATACTTTGAATTGAGCCCAGAAATGGATCAATAGCCAGCAGAGCCACTGTAATGAGGGCTATATGATCCCTGTAACCAGCCTCAGTTACTAATCTGGCTGCAGCACTTTGAACTCTGTGAAGTTTCCAAAGACACCAAACACTTTGCAAAGGGACAGACAGAATTCTAACTCCTGTCCTCTGAAGATGCCAGCCACAGAGACCAGTGAAAAGTTAGGAAGAAAAACCTCCAGAACATGGCCAAAAAGCCCCAAAAACCAACCTGTTTGGATTAAATTTCAGTTTATTCACTCTCAGCCATTTCATTACTGACACTGGACACTGATTTAGAACAGAAAGCTTTCTCAGATTTAGATGGAAAAGAGAAATAGAGTTGGATGTCACCCTATAACACAAAACCCCAAAACTCCAGACAGCCTCTCTGAGAGATTTCATGTAGATATTAAATAGCATGGAGACAAAACAGAGCCGTGAGGGATGCCAGTGGCCAGGGTGTTGAACAGGAAAACAGGAATCTTCCAGTACCATCTTAGTTCTCTTCTCCAGGAAGGACCAGAGCCACTATAAAAAAATGCCTCAAAGTCCCATCCCAGAGAGAGAGCCCACAAGGATCCTATGGTCGATGGTATTGAAAGCTGCTGAAAGTTCCAGCAGAAACTACCATGTTTCCTCAAAAATAAGACAGGGTCTTGTATTAATTTTTGCTCCAAAAATGCATTAGGGCTTATTTTCAGGAGATTTTTTCCCATATACTGTACAACAATCTACATTTATTCAAATACAATCATGTCATCTTCTTCTGGTTGCTGCACAATGGTGGAGGGTGGGGTTTCACTTAACTAGGGCTTATTTTGGAGGTAGGGCTTATATTACAAGCGTCCTGAAAAATCATACTAGGGCTTATTTTCAGGTTAGGTCTTATTTTTGGGGTAACGGACACACTCCCACTGTCCAGTTCTGGTGCAAGTCATCTACCAAGGCAGCCAAAGCAGTCTCCATCCCATAACAAGGCCTGAAGCCACATTGAAATGGATCCAATTAAATATCTTTTACATACAACTCATTGATGAAGGTCTCCTTTGCAGTGCTCTTTTTTTGTGTGTGCTTCATTGATCCCCAGGAAATGTCAGTGAGTGATTTGATTATAAAGTTTTCTGAAATCTATTACCGTATTTGCCGGCCTACAAGGCGACCGGCCGTATAAGACGACCCCCCCAACAGGAAGAGCCTGGGCGGGCGGAGGCAGGAGGAGGAGGAAGAGGGGAAACCGGGAAGCAGCAGAGAGGCGGCAGCCATTTTGGAGAGGCGGCAGCCATTTTGAGAGGCAGCAGCCATGTGGTCGCATCTCAAAATGGCTGCCTCCTCTCTGCTGTTCCTGACAGTCAGCTGTTTGGCGCTAGAGTCAGGCTGTTCCCAGGCTAGGAGCAGGGCTCTACTCGGTCTTACTACCAGGTAAGTGACTTCGCTGGGAGAGAGGGAGGGTTTGCTGGACATGCACCCGGCATACAAGATGACCCCCCCACTTGGAGGCATGTTTTTCAGGGCCAAAAAGTCATCTTGTGCGCCGGCAAATACGGTATATGGCTTTGTTAACACTGGTGTATATTTGCAGAAAGCCAATGTAATAAAATTATTTATTTATTTATTTATTTTATTTCTATCCCGCCTATCTGGTCATACTAGACCACTCTAGGCGGCTTACAATTGGAGCAACAATAAAATTATTAAAAAGATTACAAATAGACAAAAATGGAAATCAAAGAATATAAAAGAAAAATCGTCAGGGATTATCTGTTGGGAAAGCCTGCCAATTAGAATGTGTTATGTTCATATATTTATCCCCCTGGCCTTTTGTCTCCAAGGTGACTTTGGAACATCTGCTTAAACCTGTTTCCTCAGAGTTTCACTGCATGGATTCATGCAGACCATGAAAATACTACGTAAAGCAAATTTGCTAAAAATGATAATACCTATATTCATTCAGAAATAAAACTCAATGACCCTTAAGAAATTTTTTGTTTGCCTCCAGCTCCAAATATTATTTTGTGCATTCCTGACTTGATGACGTATTTGGGTATATGAAAGAAATTCTGAAGTATAGTGGAAGGCTGTCAGTCGGAAAAATAAGTTTTCCCTTAATACCATCAGATGTCATTCAGTATATATTATTTTTAGAAAAGGCTGCTGCTTAGATAACTCTTGAGTGGGTTACATTTAGATCCTCAAACAGTCTTGGAGAAGTTCAGATACTAGAGAGATTCTCTAATTATAAGAGGTGATGAATCCTTAAAGGAATTTCCTTCCACTGCATCATATGATTATAGAAGTTGAGCAGTACAAAAAGAATTCTCCTGTTATGTAGGCAAAGCTGTGTTTTGATACTGATCTTTGCTGAACTTGATTTCTTGTTAGTAACAGGTCACTGTAGAAAAGTATAAGCATTGCAAAGCAGTTAGACTAGTTGTTAGTAATATACCTTATTTTTCGCTCCATAAGATGCACCTCTCCATAAGACGCACCAATTTTTTAGGAGAAGAAAACAGGAAAATATAATCTGTTTTCTTCGCTCCATAAGACGCACAGACTTTCCACCCCCCCTGTT